TAAAAAATGATCAGATGAACCACGAAAAGTAAAAGGGAGTGGCTTATGATCCGTGAGGATGGTAAATGAGCGTTCTTCGAGCAAATGGCGAAAGCGTTTAAAGGCTAGGTAAATGGACAAGATTTCTCGACCAGAAGTCCCGTATCGCATCTGAAGACTACAGCTTTAGAGAGAAGAAACAGAGGCTCAGTTTGACTGTCTAGGAGCTGTTGAAAAACAGCACCAGCAGCAGTTTGATATGCATCGGTTTTGAGCACAAAGGATGTGTCGACATTGGTTCTCAAGTGACTAAGCACGGTAACGGTGAAAAGCGCGTGTTCGATCTTGTCGCATGCTGCTTTGGCATCCATGGCACAAAACTTGCGAAACTTGTCTTTGAGCAGATCTATCAATAAATGAAGGAGCCTAGAACATTCTGGAATGAAGCGGCTGTAATAGATAACCATACCAAGAAAATGGCGTAAACTATTGAATGACTGAGGTATCGGATGGTCTGTAATAGCTTGTGTTTTTTCAAAGAGCGGTCTGATACCGTCGTGATCGATTTAGTGGCCAAGAAAATTAACAGATGACTGAGCAAAGACGTATTTATCGGCGTTGATCGCGATAAAAATTGTGCGAGACGCACGGAAGCGAAGATGGTACAAGTGTTCTCCAGGACACCAGCTGGTTACTGGTATATCGAGAATATACTCGAGGACGAAATCATTAGCTCTGTGGACTTGGACGATAAATCTCTGAAATGTCTGCGCGGCGTTTCGCAGACCGAAAGGCATACGGACTAATTCGTAGAGACCAAACGGTGTGGTTATGGCCGATTTAGGTATGTCATCCGGAGCGACAGGAATCTTGTAGTAGGTTTGGACAAGATCAATTTTCGAAAAAATGAATTTGCCATGTAAACCAATGGAGGAATCGGGTAACCGTCCGGTACAGTACCGCGTTCAGTGCAGCATAGTGGTCTCGGTATGATCGCCAGTTCCCGCTCGACTTCCCAGGTGACCAGGGCTGTTGGAAGGTCGAACGATTCCTAGACGTAGCATGTTTGTACTCAGGGTTGTTGGTGGCGAGTTTGTCTGTCGGTAGCCGTCGAAGTCGGGTAGTAACCGGAGATTCTTCCGTAATGATATGATGCCTAATCTCGTGCTTAGAGTATGGAAACTCGCTTATCTGATAGTGAAGCACAGAAAACTGGAGGAGCAAATCAGTGAATGCCTTGTCAGTAGGTAGTGCCAGTCGAAGACCGACCGATCTGATCGACGTGACACTACACTGAACAGTAAGGGACGTGAAATTGTCGCGAAGCTTCTTGCAGCTCAGGTCAACTATCAAACCAAACTTCATGAGGAAATCAGCACTAATGATAGGACGTTCAATGTCTTGGGTTAGGAAGACGAAGGGAAAGATTCGTCTGAGTCCTAGATCAAGTGTGAGGAGATTTTGGCCATATATGGGGATCAAAGTATTGTTAGCCGCTTGCAGAATGATGCCGGTGGGGTAAGGAAGCGCTTTTCTATTCATCAAGATAGAACGCTCGCCTCGACACCGGCGTCAACTGAGAAAGAAGTTGCTTGATGAGTCGCTGATGTAGAGGATGCGACTAGGAGTAGACCAGTCACAGCCGTCAGCATTACTGACTGGTTTTGGTGTTTCCCTGTGGAGTGTTGCAAGGTGCCTGGGGATGAGTGCATCCGAGTCGACACTTCCTGGCCTTAATACCAAATCGACGATGGTAATAACAGAAACTGTGTGACGAATTTCCGGACAAACGGCGTTTGCTTCAAGTATATGGTCTCCGACCTACATCGAGTGCGCTGTATACTCGAGATTGCGAGCTCGAATCTCCACAAGCGGTGACATACTGACACAAAATGGCCGTTTCCGAGAGTGTTGGTTGAAAAGGAGTCTACCGCATGAACAGCGGACTGTTTGAAGAAATACTCGTGGACTTTATACGCAATTTCTGCCAGCTTGTTTACAGATAGATCATCAGCGGAAACAGTGAGAACAGCAGTGATTAATGGGAGACATTTAGTTCACAGTTGACGCAATATGTTGTCAACTTTGGCGGACCAGACAAGGAAACGCATGTTGTAGAAGTCTGAAGATTCTCCCATTTTATCTGTGTAAAACCCCAACTAAAATCATTATTTCATTGTACGCTAAGGTGACCGGTGCGGATTGTTGAACGGGTTGTTGAGTTCGATTACTCGAGTCGACCGTTGCCATTTTGCTTGACGTTCGTTTCGAGTGCAACGCGCGATCGTTCTGTGTGCTGTGCACTTTCTGTTACCATAGAAACGTTCGATGGTGTCGTTTTCTATAGCTATGCAAACAGGGAACCTATTGTTTTACAAATAAAAGTATCCCTGCAACTTGAGCTTCCTTCTGGAATCGTTATCCGAGTTCCCGCTGAAATGTATCGGAGAAGTTGCGATGGCGTGCGATCGGCAAGTTCGCCACCTGACGGTAGTTTCTAAAGCCTGACCTAGTCGGAAGCTGCGGTGTGGTTCAATATGGCGCATTTAAGTTATTTATAAGGCGCGTCGAGTGGGATGTCGGCGAATAAATCAGTGACATCGGCAACAATATGCATATGAAGATTCGAGGCAACCAGAGGAAACATGGTAAACTCTGAAGTAACACGGCGGCATTAAAAAAGTGCTTCTAACTGTAAAAACGAAACATGTCGGTTGTAAGCGTCGAATGGAGGAACTGAGACACCTACAAAATTTTCAGGAGCAAAAGAAGGAACTCGGTTTGAGGACAATTTAGACGAGAAACGGAAAAAAGGAGTTCTGAAAGTTCAAGAAAAAATGTCAAAAGCAAAAATAATCCAAAACGGTGCCATCAGTTATGTAATGGCAACTGTCTCCTAGAGCCAGTATGGACGAGGTAGTGGGTAATAGACAGGTAGGCACCTTGTCAACATGCACATCAAGGGCAGCCACATCGGGGATATCAAGCAACAGCCAATCACTTGAAATAGCATCAGCAAATAATATATATCGGTTGTAGTATACGGCTATGTCAACAAAACTCTTCCTTAAATTAGAATGTGAAGTAAGTTGGTTAGCAACCTATCCGCGATAAGTACAAAAGGTCCAAAAATTTACTACAAACGCAATAAAGATAACGAAGATAATCACAATTAGCGCAAGCGTAGTTAGTTAATAGAAGATTATTTAGGTAGGCAGAACAAACCAAATGAAGTGGAATGAAATTTATCCAGCTTAAAAAGACCTTATTTAAGTGCAAGTTTGTTTAGCCCAATTGCGGTGAAGAATCATCATGAACAAAACATCAGCCTCAGCCTGGGGCAATGAACATACAGGGTTGGCAGCATCCGGTTTCGGATTTGCATGTCACTTCTTCTCTGCATGCACGAGGGCTTTCTCTTGCAACTGGGCAACAGCCTTCAGGATCAGATCGCTCCATGCACGCCGATCTACCGCCTTTGATTCCCATCAATCAAAATCAGAACGCGAGAGGCTCACTTTGATCATGTCCTAGTAACGAAGCTTCGGTTTCCCCACATGTCGCTTCCGAATACTCAGCTGACCATATAATAGTTGTTTCGGTATCCACGTCGAATCCATACGGCTCACATGACCGTGACACCTCAGGTGTCTCAGCAAAAGTATGCAGTCCAGTGCATACATTCCACTTCGGCGCAACACTTCCATGTCCATAACTCTGTCGCACCAATCGATGTGCAGAATCCGTCGCAAACACTGTTGACGGAACCGCTCGAGATATCGCACATCCCGACGGTATATTGTCCACGTTTCAGTGCCGTTATAGAAGAACGGACAGCACCATGGATTGTGCACCATCAGCTTCGTACCAACGGTAAGTTGATGGGTGTTCCACACTCGGTACTCAAGCTACCCGAATACCGCCGCTGCCTTCGAGACGCGGATACGCAGCTCACTGTGTAGCTGCTGGTCAATCGACATCACACTCCCAAGGTAGCAGAAGCGGGAGGTGGTTTCCAATACTTCAGCACCAATGCTGATTCGCGGCACCATTGCAGATTGCACTTCCGGTGAAGGCTGAAAGAGACAGACCGTTTTGCTTGTGTTGATGGTGAGCCTGGAGTTGGCCGCTGTCGAAGCCAGAGCACTAGTCATGTGCTGCCAGTCATCCGCGCTGTGTGCGAACAACGCACAGTCGTCAGCGAACAGCAACATACGGATAGTTGTCTCACAGACTAGAGTTCTCACACCAAAACGACGGATGTTCAGCAACCCACCATCAATACGGTGATCCACACGAACACCATGAGCACAAGCCGCATCAAAAGCACAAGACATCATTGTATGAAGATAAATATTAAACAGGGCAGGAGCTAAGACACAGCCTTGTTTCACACCAGAGACAACTGCAAAGTCATCTGAGGTCTGTCCACTCAGCTGCACCCTCGCCCGCATACCACTGTGCAGACACTTAATTAAACTTACAAACTTACGCTGGCACCCAAACTTACTCAACACCAGCCACAATGCATCGCAGTTCACCGCATCAGTTGCTTTAGTGAAATCAATAAACAGCGAGTACAATGGCTGATGTCGTTCTCTACACTTCTACTGCAACTGACGAGCCGCAAACGCCATATCTATAGTGCTGCGACCCGAACGGAATCCACACTGCTCTTCCGCCACGTTAGGGTCCACAACCTGACTGACGAGGCTGTTGAACAGGATTCGGGCAATCACCTTGCCCACACAACTCAACAAGTTGAGGCCACAATAATTCGTGCAACATTGCTTGTTTCCTTTGTCCTTGTGCAATGGTAGCACAAGGGCATCCTTCAGCTCAGGAGGCACCCTCTCCTCAATGCATACGCGTTGCACCAAGTGGTGCAGTGTAGTCACTAACGCGGGTCCGCCGTGTTTCAGTACTTCAAGCGGGATCTCGTCGGCCCCGGCACACTTGCTGGGTGTGAAAATCATATATTTCCCGACCCCTAGACTAGCGTTAAAAAGCAGAAGACGTGGTAGAGTTAAATGCAGCATCGGCAATTTCCAGCAAGGTTAGTTTTGATCGTTACCTGGTACAGTACGCTTAACTAAAGAATTAACTCAATCTAAGCAAACACACAGGTTGCCAACGTGAGTAAAGGAATGTCGTCTGAAGGATGAACAAAAGGATGCGGTTAGCTTCGAGTGGACATTAAAATGAGTGAAAATTAAGCAATACATTGATAGCATTAGCAAGGCAATACGTACTACGAAAAATTAGATGGGATAGGAAACAGGCGACCGAGGAGTAACCAATCTGAGGTTCTCTATAAAAGTTGACAAAGGCTCCCAAAGTGATTTCGAACACCACATAAGCAGTTTATCAGCTGCCTTATCTAGGTCGTCAATGAGTTTGGCGCGATAAGGTAGGTTATGAGAATGTTGCTGCAACAGACATAGCCGTGTGGAAATATTACCAGTAAAACCGGAAATCCAACAATGCCAGCAAAGAATAAGAAAATTGCGTAACCAAGCAAGAAGGGTTAAATAACATGGTAAAATATTGTAGAACATTTTGAGAGAAGCTTTTTTTCTGGCAGATAAAGATAGGAATAAGTGGGTATCCGAATGAAAAGTTATTCTATCTATTAGGAGAAGAGTGCATTTGTTGAATTTATCAATGAGAATGTTCAAACGATTCAAAACAGCGGTGGGTCTACAGCACCAAAGGTCCTGAGGGTTTCGGCTTAAAAGAGCCCAGACAGATAAAATGAGCCATAACTCCTCAGTGAGTTGGGCTGTTGAAGGAATTGATAGAACGAAACTCTGATCGGGAAACCAAGAAGCTATGATGGCACTAAGGTGAGGATATTTCGAGAAATCGACCTCCTGTGCACAAATGTTACCAGTAAGACCGGTAAGTTTATTCAGATTTGCACACAAATAATGCCAGTTAGTGATAAATATGGCAGTGGGATGATATAGCACTGTATAACTCCTCAGTCGGTCACTGACGGGAGTAGTAGTAAGGGCACGCGATACTCGACCGTACAACAAGGCAAGGAAACAGGCATAAATTAACAGAGCCGCGTGTTTAAAGTGTGCGTCCGTTGATTCAAGTGATTTAACATCTCGGCGAATCCACATTTCCCCGTGGCTTAGGTGATCCTTCAGTCGAGGGCCACGTTCTGCGGAAAGTAGGTCACAAAGGATGGCCAAGACGTGTGTATCGCGTATCTGCTCCAGAAATCTTTCATAATGTCGAATCGTTACGGGATAGGGCAAAACCCTCTCCGTGTTAAACTGCAGAATGCAGTCAAGAGTGAGGAAGAAATGGAATTCAGTACTGCAACAGATGTCTGTAAATTCCAACGCCTCTGCATACTCGTGGCGTAATAAAATGGATAAACACACCAGTGAGAGACAAAGTGTGTCCAAGTATCGGTGCGTATTCAGCAAGACGTCGAGGTACCGCACATAAGCCCAGCTAGAACAGTGGGCAAAAGGATGGGCTTGAGTAGTGTCAAGAAAAACAGTTGACGCATGAAGGATTTCCAAATCGGGGATAACTGGGCATGATTCCAGAAGCGTAATACATGACGGTCTGCCAGCTTCTATAGCACGCTTAGTCAAGCGTTGGCCGATACTCATGATGAGAATGAAGACGAAAAGTATGACTGCCTCGTCCACTTGATCCATATCGGATGGTGAAACAAAGCCATGCCATGCCAAATTGCGCAAATTCATGGACGTCACGGGACCAAAAAGCAGGCGGAGCAAGAGGATGCAATTGCGACCACATAGATCCTCCAATATAGGAGAGTTCAAAACTTCTTTCATCATGTTTGCACATTTCCTAGTGGGGGTCCAATACAATCTACCAAGAGAAAACTCAAACAAACTAGTCAAACGCAAGAGTAACAAAAGCCGTTCTGTCGCATTGTGACATGGCAGGCGGCTATGCAAATAGATAAATTCGGCAGGATCTGATAACCAGTCTAATGTAGTTGCAAACGTTGTTGCCAACTCGGAGGTGGAGTAACGGCGAAAGGCGGAAGTGTGAGAGGTTATAAGTGGGGTGAGAGCAATAAGAGCTTCGGCAAAGCGAGCATCGACCAAAAATTGGATGACTGTTTCCCCCAACTCGCTGAAATCGATCAGAAAATTATCTCCGTTTCTTTCGATTACAGTGTGGGCGCTAAACGAGTGGAACAACAAGCGTTTTGTAGATGGAGATAGAAAACTGTCGCGGTACATTTCAATGGATGACCGGTGGTGAAAGGCAAAGTGAGAAAACAATCGAGGTTATCCTGGCTTCCCAAACTCAGTTTGCAACGAAATGACGGGAAGAAGTGCGTACTTGAAGGAGCTTCTGAATGGTATCCGGTAGACAGCTATAATCAAAATCGGATAATACAATCCCACTGAGTTACGTGGAACTAAACACCCCGCGATGAAGACAATGCGTAAAAGTATCGAGTGGATAAAAGTGTAGAAAGTGCATAAAACAGGCGTTCAGATTAATCTTCGGATTTATCACAAACCGATCAGTGCGTTATTAACAATATCTCTAAGCAGCTCCAGCTTGAGCTATAAGAGAACGTGAAAATTCCAACCATTATAATGAAGATTTCAATGTATAAGTAGCTAAAACGTTGGCAACACTAAAAAACAATCAAAAATGTCTCGTTTACTGCTAACGGAGATGCTCAAGGGCGAGAATTGGAACAGCGATCGACAAATAGTCGGTTAATGATAAGGGAAGAGAGGATGGAACAGCGGATACAGAGGCTCAAGACATCCAAGGCATCAGGCTAGTGAAGACAGCTAGATTAGGCAGATGGAGACCGGAGAATACTGGATGCTGTAAGGTGAGGACGAGAAGATATAAATCTGGCTGCTCCATCAAAATCTTATAGAACACATACGCGGAACTAGGTGATTAACGCCCATGCGTCCTTAACATATCACAGTTGACCGGTGACCTAAAGTATTACACGCTTGCACTGTAATTCGATTCGAATCCGCGTGGTATACCCAGCTAACGCAAACCGCCGGTGGTGGCGTGCCGGCGTACTGCAGATTCTTCAAAATATAACGGCTGTGCAATGCGTTATTCCAGTAAGATACGCTTCCTAAATGTATAATCCACATATTGGGCATCTAGGAAATGGCTAGAGGTGATTGCAGCGACATGCTGAACCCATTCTAGTCTATGCACCTCGTCACGGATGATCGATAGATGGGTGGATGAACATAACTCAAACTTCGGTCGAATGATGAAAAAGAAGGGGCAAGTAGTAATATTGTCAGACCAAATACATGAGCTACGTTTGAGCGCCTAAAGTATGCGCAGTCCGTTTCCATATAGTCTGTTCGTGTTATCCACGGACTTCACGTTCTGCCACTGCAGACATCCTGTCGAGAGCTTTGGAGAATTAACAGTTTCAATATGGAGTTTATACCAGGGAAATGAGTAGCCGACTTAGAGTACACTGTCGATGAGGTGTATCGCCAAAGTACGGTAGACATTTGTGTAGACAGAGCCAACTCGCGAGGATGTAAGTGCCGCCTTTCAACCTTCGACAGTGGATCATCATCATCAACAGCAGTACATCAGCCATTTGAACATGCTTCGCTGCCACACAACCACGGTGACGTACAGAAGGAAGAATAATAAGCGGGAAAGAATGGGAATTAGCGTAAAATTTTATTCCGCTTAACAAACATTTAGGGTCAAGACGCCTACACCTTATCAACAACATACTGTCATCAACAGCTGCTTATCGTGCAAAGATAAGGCGGCATCTGCGAGATAGTTTTTTGCGGTTTTCACTGCCCCGCATCATAATCAGCCATTACTCCGCAGATAACAACACCAAAAACACAATCTAAACAGGTAGCCCGACTAGGAGACGACAGCATATGTGTCGCTGATGCCCACTGCGATCCATGTCCTGTAACGTCACAAGCTAAGCACAAGGCAAGTCAGGTTGATTCCAACCTGGGATGCGAGACGGAGCAACGGCACCGATTTAAGTCGGCAGTGATTTCATTTCCCGCTGCTAATTTAATTACTGCCCACCATGGGCTTTGCGCCACCTCCATCATGCAAACAAAACAAGCCTCCTCAGCAAGCGGTGATCAGGCATACATACTAGGTGCCCAAGCCAACGCAACTTATTCAGCGGTATCTGTTGTTCTAAAGAACTAGTCTGGTCAACACAGACTGGTACTCGATTACACACATCATGGTTGTGGATACCCTGGTGACATCCGACACCAGCATTGTTCCACAGGTAGCGATGGTCAGACTTAGAGGCTGCACAGGTCCTCAGATCGAGGGGTCAAGTCTCACTCCCGTAGAGTAGGACGGTCCCTACTGTGGCCTTGTAGACACGGACTTCCAGACGGGAAGAAACTCCATTCTGACGCCACAGATGTCGGAGATTCAATAAGGCAATTATGGCTTCGCAATACATGAAATAAATTCAGGTGCTATGGGCCCATCGTTGCCGATGCATCTCTCAAGAAAGGTGAGGTGATCAACTACCGCTAGTTCCTCGCCACCAAGAGCCAATGCGTCATTAAATGGCTGCTGGTCCTGTAACAGCACTTTGCACTTTGAAAGTGCGAAGCACATGCCAAATAATGGGACCACTCTAGACGTTATTCAGGGTTGATTGCGCCGCCCCAACATCGTTAAAAAGCAAGACAATATCGTCTGCATAATCTAGATCAACAAGCTTTTCACCAGGCAACACAACGCCCGCACTGTGAGGCTCCACACTCCATGATGCGGTCCGTGACGAAGTTCAACAAAAATGGGGAAATTAGATAACCCTGACGAGCGCCACTTGTTGTCGGATAGGCATCCGACAAATCACCGCAGACCCGGACACCGCCTTTCGTGTTTGAGTATAGAGCATGTACTATATTCACATACTTCATGCGGACACCTTTCCGAACAAATATTTCGGACAGAATGCATCGCTCGACTTAGTCGAACGCGCTATTGAAGTAGAGGAACACAGCTCTTTTTGTCTGCGGTATGCGTGGCGCCGCCCTACCACCTACCGCAAAGTGAATATGTGGTCTATACAGCCCCGTCCTGGGCGAAAACCTGCCTGCTCTTCCCTAATCCGTGGTTCTCGCTCCGCAACGAGGCAAAGAACGAGAATTGAGGCCAGTAATTTTGTTACCATAATGAGCTGTTGGTTGCGAACTCGTTATAATCACGGTGGTTTTCGTCCAGGCAGGCAGCACTGACCAAATCTTCACTCTACGTCGGATACTCGAACACCGCTACCAGTTCCAGCAGCCCACGTTTGTTTACTTCGTTAATTATCGGGCCGGCTTTTACTTAGTTGACTGGAAGGAAGCGCTCTGGAGAATCCTACCTTCTGATGGCGTGCAGATTAAACTCGTTAATATGACGAGATCATACTACCGTTGCACGAAGGTCCGGATTCGGGTATATGGAGAAAAAACAAAGGAATTCGACATAAATACTGGAGTCCTGCAGGGTTGCCCACTTTATCCAGTGCTGTTCAACCTCGCGGTCGACTGGGTTATACATCATGGTCTTGAAAGCTATCGTGGTGTTCAAGTTAGCCCTGACTGCTGGCTGTCAGACCTAGAATTTGCTGGCGTTATTCATATCGTTGCACAAGATCCTATGTCACTACAGTCACTGCTAAATGGGTCAACCAATCAGCTTCTATGATCGGCATCGAAATCAACATCAGCAAGACGAAGTACTTCTCATCGTTAGCCACCCAGTCCGCTCAGTCGCTCTCCTGACGTGGACAACTTATCGAGTATGTTCCGGAATTCAAGTACCTTGGATCCCTATGGCCAAGCTATATCCAAAATCCGGAATAGTAGAGACAGCACCAGAACAGTCTTATTACAACTGAGAAACACGTTGTGACGAAGGACGGAAATTAGTCTGAGAACGAAAATTTGAGCTTTCACAGCAACCATTCGAGCTATTTTACTCTATGGTTGCGAAACATGGCAGCTGCGATCCGAAGATATCCGGAAGCTGAAAGCCTTCGACCGTTGGTGCCTAGGGCATAGCTTGAAAACGCAGTGCTATGAGCGTATCACCAATGAAGAATTTCATAAGCGCAGTTTCAATCTTCCGAAGCTCTCAGCGTTGATCTAAGGCCGCAGAGTACCGTGGTTCGGTCACGTCCTCCGCAGACCAGACACCGACTTCACTAGGGCCGTGGTTTCACCCTCAACTTGCCAGGATGGGTGTCGTCACCGTGGCGGACAAATGAAAACGTGGCTCGCTGCAGTGAAATCGGACGTCGATCTTCTGAGACTCCAGGTTGTGCATGGTGCTCGCCACTGATATTATTGGATCAGTATCTGCGTGGAGCATGCCGCTGACCGCCGCGCTTGAACAGCTGCAGTCCACGACAATTATGAAACCGGCTTAGCAAGCTGCAGGAGCTAGCCGCAGTAAAGTATGTTGTTGGAGAATGGTGTCCAGTGGGTGGTGTGGGAAGATAGCTGCAAATAGTATGACTCCAGTGGCATTGCGGTAGCTGTTAATTAAACTGGAGATCATAAGAAGGCTAGTAATGAGGACTGGAATGGGAGTAAGAAACAGGTGGAAAGGAAAGAAGGGAGACGTCAGTAATAGTGTTTTCGCTTATCGGCCCTGCTGTATGCAGTAGATAAGACGAACCTTGATAAGCCGCGCGAAGGCCGATGCAGGATACAGTTGTATTTTTAAGAGGTACTCATGGTTGTACGCGGGCTGAGATATTGTCAGAACGCCCGGAGTCATCAGAAGCACGCCGGTACGCAGTACCGACGCTACGCTACCGCGCAACCCCCACCAATCGTGCATGGGCCAAGGAGAATGCGAAGGTCGTCCAGTCCCCTACGCAGGCTCGAACGTGCGCCCTCAGATTACGAGGCATGCTTGTGAGCCTTAAGGCTATGGGTTGATGTCCAGACCTAGACAGGAGGAAAATTAAGATCTTCAACCAAAGCCTTTGGCTCAAAAGCCTGTCCGCAAAGCAGAGGATGTGGCAATGATTCGGTTTTACAGAAATGGACGCAATCTCGTTTCAACTCCCCAACCTGAAAGACTAGGAGACTGAGTTCGTCTGACCTCTAACCATTGACCAACCTGGTAGGAATAGCTTTTAAGGGGCTCAACGGCCCCACCTAGCATAGCTCAGTGGGCCGACGAAGTAAACAAACCGTCGCACCACGTTAAGGTCCAGCTACGTTGCGACAGTGGACGCTCGAGGGGGACTGCTGGTGTGGTGACAACACCGTGTTTGAAGCGATTAAGTTAAACATCGAGTCATCAGCATCGTCATCCTCAACCTCTGCACTCTCGTCACAACCAACACACCTTATAGGTGAGATACATCAGCTGCCGTGCAGCAATACGATAGTTACATAGACGTAAGGAAAAGTAGGGAACAAAAGCAAAAAACAATTGAGTATAAAACAAGGCAAATAACATTATGCCGCTTCTTAATTACGCACCAACACTGAGATCGTAGTTGGAAAGGGAAGCTAAGTAGGATGAGGCAGGATAAAGAAATCCACAATATAAATACTAATGAGGTCAGCGCTTGGCAATGTCGGCAAATGTCTCCAACCAAATGTGTTCACTGTCTTGAAGACCCCAACCAGGGACTCGTGAAACTCCAACTGGGGCGAAGTGAAAGCTTTCATTCCCATTGACAGTTATTGGTTTGACACCCCTCCTTCCAACTAGACATCGGTCGAGCGAACAAAGCACGATCCTGCAGTTGGTGTGTTGGCGGGCGCACCACAATATCCAGCCATATGAGCCTCGTGCGCGAAATAATGGCGCTGAGCAATACATTTCCTGCAGCCACGAAATAAATAAGTTGCTGGACATGCTCATTGCTCACATTGTGTTTCCACTAGATATGAGCTAACGTGCATTAAGGACTCTATCAAACATGACACAGTCGCGCAGTCTGCGGCGTTCCTGCATTCGGTTTCTTGACTCTAGCTGTTAATCTTTATTCCAATTCAATTATTTAACGCATTTCTTTCTTGATTCCAATTTTATATTTTACTTGCATTCGAACTTATTTTCTTTCAATTTGTATTTCTTGTTAGTCTGCTGACGTGAGACGTGGCAACCGGATATACCGCACTTCAGTGCTCGGACCATTGGAGTACAACTGTGAAGGTACCGGTGTACGAACACTACTAGCTATGTCAGTCGATTTGATGGGCCAGGTTCTACAACCTTACACGAGGGATGACCGGACGACAGCATTGTAAACTTTCTTTTCAGAGCGAGTGATGGCGCGCCGGCGCCACAAATGGCGGAGATTAGCAAAAGCGCCTAGAGCTTTTGCCATACAGTTCGTAATCTTGTCTTCGATCCAAAGGGCGCTAATATAGCTTCCCAGATAGGTAAATTTCTGGACTTCTAGCTGGTCACTGCCCATGGTCAGAGTACCTGCCAAGCTTGGAGCAATTTGCGATTCGACGATGCAAAGCATAGCCCAAAACTGATTGACAACCAGAGCTAATTTATCCAGTGCAACTTGGCACGTTCGGCAGCTGTCACAGATGAGCCCAATGTCGTCGGCATACTCCAAGTCAAGAAGTCACTCACATGGAAGCAGCTCCATATCTACCAAGTCATGCCCGGTGAACACCGTTCCCATAACTGCATCAATGGCGAAGGAAATGTGGCAGTAGGCAATCTTGTTTCACACCATTGGATATATTGAATGGTGGCGACAGTTTGCAATAAACACTCACTCTGTCCGAAGTATGCGCGTACAGCGCTCTTATGATATCCACATTTATCGGGCACGGCTTTTTTCAATAGAGAGTTAAAAGGGCACATGGATCAACCGAATCAAAAGCCCCCATTATGTCTAAGAACACGACTGCGGTGGGCCACCAATAAACATGGGGGTGCTCTAACAACTAAAGTAATGTGAAGATGTGGTCAATGCAACCCAGAGATTAAGGAAACCTAGCTTGATCCTAGGTAATTTGGCTTCCACGAGTGTCAGCCAGTCCGTAGCGAACGACAGACGCGACTGATATCAGACCGATTGCTGCATGATGGCCGCATTCTGAACGTGAGACTCCTTTGAAAATTGAGACTACGACGGAGCGGCCCCAGTCTGTTAGGACATTCTCCTAATCCCATATATGTAAATCGTCCAAAAGAGCAGATCCTCCAAACTTGAAAAGAGCTGGATGAAGTCCAGCTGCTCCAGCGACATGATTCTGTCAATGGATTCATTGTGCTCGAGATAACTGGGGGAAAATATGTTCCTACGAAATGTGAACACTACGCGCCCTATACTCGAACACCACAGGCCACGGTATGGTCTACGGCGACTAGTCGGACGTCTTTCAAATTACAAGTGGCGTTTGTAAGGATTGCCCAATTTCCCCTCTTTTTGTTCAATTTCGTCGTGGACTCCATCATGGAGTGCTCATTTGTGGAACCACACGATGGTTAGACATGGAAATTACCAAGTGCGGATAACAACGTACTTCTGGGTGTTCCGTTCCACCGAGGTATTCATAGTGAAGAAAAGCGACTAAATATCGTTTCTTTGGAGAACTTCTCGCTGAATATCTGAATTTTTCAGATATAACGCACCATGAACTCCAGATGCTTGGATTGCGGTCAAGGGGTTACTTCCCGCTCGAAAGCTGTTCAACGTTTTTTGTACGATGGATGACTGCACATTGCCTGCTGTAATATCGATGTACAAAAACCTTCAGCGGTCTACCTTCCCGGTAGTCAACTGCCTTTGTAACTGTTGCCGAACCATACTGATGGATAAACGTAGCGCGGTTGGTCAAACTCCGCAAAGTCCACCTGCACAATCTGTGGTTCCTACAGTGGAAACAACCTAAGTTCTTCTTTTACGTTTACCCGCGTCCTGCCCAACTACTCCAAAGGGAAAACGGAGCCGAGCTTCATCTGTTTCATCTCCGGAACCATTGACAACGGTTGAGCAGCGTAGCCTATGTAAGTGAAAAACATGCTGCCGTAATGAGTCGAAATGCTATGTCAACAGAGACTGAGTGCATCTGGACGCAAAGCCCACGGAGGTGGGATACCGATTCAAGATGGCTATCGCAACAGAAGAGCTGAAAGCTAGTTTGTTTCGACAGCAGCAACAAATTGAGGCCTCACGGCTGCATATGATCGAGAATCACTCGAACACTATCGCTTCAGTCTACATCAGTCCACAATGCTGAGAAGCCTTCAGTTGATGCAATAATCAAGTGTCAGTGAGTTTGTCTTTGAACCCGCTTCAGGACTGATTTTCGATGTATGGTTCAGACGTTACGAAGATGCGTCAAAAGTACGAGTGCTGCTACGTAAACTCGGAACTGTGAGACACGACAGATACAGCAATTAGATTTTTGCAAAAAGTGCTCAAATTTTCAGCTTTGATGAAACCATTTCCCGACTTACGGAGATGTTCGGCGATCAGGCATCGCATTTCAATAATCGGCACAATTGCTTGAAGCTGTGCAAGAGGGACAGCGACAGTTTTATTGCCCATGCAGCAACAGTAAAGCGAGTGCCAGAAATTCAAGTTGAAATCACTTACTGAAGAGTAATTTGAGTGTCTAATACTGGTATGCAGCCTCCGATCTCCCAAGGATGCCGAGATCCGAACCAGAATACTTGGGTTCTTGGAGCGAGACCCGGACGTCACACTGCAAGTTGTCATTGCAGAGGCCTAGAGAATCATCAATGTAAAACACGATACAGCTATGGTCGAGGATACGAGGTCGCATGCCAGTGATTTTGCAGTTCGGCAGATTTCGAGGAACAAGTTTCCGGCCACTAATCACAAGAAGACTCCTCAAGGTAAGCCACCATCAGCATGTTGACAATGCGACGAATCGCACTTTGTTAAATGGTGTCCATTCAGCAAGCATATCTGTCAGAAATATCGTAGACGTGGCCACAGAGAAACTCATTGCAGATCCAAGCCATTTTTCAGACCGGTTCTTGATGCACGAAAGAAAACCTACGGTGGTTTCGTGGGGAGAGTGAACGCCAAGTCTACTGACGATGTCAGAGATCGTAGAAAGTACATCAACATCAATGGAAGACAGGCGCGTTTGCAGATAGATACGGCCTCAGACATTACGATCATATCAGAAAGGCTGTGGAGAACCGTCGGGTCACCAGAAATCAAACTTACCAGCCAGCAGACGAAAAGTGCATCAGGTGCCGAGTTGCAATTGATTGGTCAAGTCGATTGTGAGTGTCGTTATGTCGAGGTTACCGCATGGGGAACGAATTTTGTCACGAGCCACCAGAATTTGAATCTTCTGGGTCTGGACTGGATCGAGCGTTTCAACCTACTTGATGTTTCGATCAACCAGATTTGTGTAAGTGTCCAGATACACAAGGCAACAGCTCCTAAAACTGTAACTATCGAGTGCCTACGGGAGAAAGATGCAGCAGATTTTCGGGAAGGTCTCGATAAGTGCACTAAAGTGCAAGCTTCACTATCCCTTAAGCCCGATGCTGTTCCAGTGTTTCGTAAGAGATGCCCTGTACCTTAGGCAGCAACATCAAGGATTGACCAGGAGCTGAATCTCTTAGAGAGAGCAGGGGTTATCCACCCGGTGAACTACTCGTCTTGGGCGGCACCCATGGTGGTGGTCAAAAAGCCAAACGGTCAAATCTGATTATGCGCAGATTTCTCGACAGGTCTAAGTGCTTCACTGAACGCCCATCAGTACGATTTACCGCTCCCAGATGATTTATGCGCAAAATTGAATGGTGGTAAATGTTTCGCAAAGTTGGATCTCTCGGATTCATACCTGCAGATCGAAGTACATGAAGCTTTATGAGAATTACCCACCATCAACACGCATCGAGCCTTGTACCAGTATCACCGTCTCCCGTTTGGAGTCAAGTTTGCACCAGCCATCATCATCATCATCATCATACACGTTAGCTAGAGGTGGAGAACACCTCAGCTACTGTGCCGCAATACACAGAAAAAAAGAGAAAAATATGAAACTGGTGCAAGCCGGCTGAGCTACCGGTAACGGATGGGCATCGTTCCGGCAAGCTACCAGCCGGCTACTGTGCATAAAAAAATTACTATGCAAAATTATATAAGGCTAAATAATAAGGTCGTGGTTGGAGGGGGAGGCTAAGAGGAATGGGGTGGAACAATGAAACTCGCAGCACGAACGCCACTGAGGTCGGCTCCTAGCCATATCAGCAAGTGTGTCCAACCAAACGTGTTCATCGTCTTTCGAATCCCAACCAGACGCTCCAACCGAGGCCAGATTAGAAGTGAGGGCCTTCATTCCTCTCGACCAAGTCATCGCTTGGCCACCCTTCCTCTTCTTCCATCCACACCCCCGGCGCGCAAACAACGCACGTCGCGGGAGTCGGTGGGCTGGCATGCGTAACACATGGCCGAGCCATCGGAGCTTGGTGCGTGAAATGACGATGCTGAGCGGTTCACTTCCTTTTCCTGTGCCGTAAACAAGGCGTCGAACACGCTCGTTGCTCACGCGGTGTTCCCACCAGACGTGAGCTAAATTACGAAGGCACCGGTGTTTGAACGTAACTGGCCTCTTCAGGTCCGCTGCTTTAAGCGGCCAGGTTTCACAATGCCAGAACTAATTTGACGAGGTAAAAAGGCTACTATGTTCTGACCTTCTGCTAACACATAACGATCCAACTTTGGAGATTGTGTTGGCCGCAGACACCTCGAACTATGGCATTGGCGCAGTCAGAGCCCACAAGTTCGCAGATGGTTCAAAAAAGCAATCGCACATGCAGCTCGGTCGCTTTCTGCCGCAGAGCGAAATTATGGCCAGATAGAGAAAGAAGCCTTGGTGATAACCTACGCTGTAAAGAAATTTCACAAAATGCTGTATGGAAGGAAGTTTACACCTCTTACTGACCATAAGCCGCTGTTGGCAGTTTTCGGATCAAAGTCGGGAATCCCTGTCTATACGGCAAACAGGTTGCAGCGGTGGTATATTACATTATTTGGTTAAGACTTTAAGGTGAAGCACATTCCTACAAAAGATATTGGCCAAGCTGATGCGCTTTCTCGACTAGTAGAAAGTCAGCAGCGCCAGCAAGGAGATTCTATCATTGCAGCGGTATCTCTGGAGTCGGAAGTGAATCAGGTGTTGCTGGAAACGCTCAGAGGACTACCGGTAACTTTTGAAATGATACGTGAAGCATCAATGCGGGATCCTGTCCTACAACAAGCGGTCAGATCTCATACTATACAGTGGCTGAAAGACAATCTAAATGGGGAATTGCAGAGCCTGTCCCGGAGAAAAGACGAATTATCCATCGTCAATGGTTGTTTACTTTTGGCGGAAAGAGTTGCTATGCCTAGTGAGCTTCGCCAAAGAATTCTACGACAGTTTCATCGTGGACACCCTGGCATTAACAGAATGAAAATGATTGCGCGAAGTTACGTTTACTGACCGAATATCGACTCGGAGCTGGAACAGCTAGAGAAATCGTGTCCGGAATATGCGTTTGAAAGCAAGGCGCCGAGGAAAGCGGAATCGTCTTCTTGGCCGTTGTCAACGAAACCGTAGCAACGAGTACACGCAGATTTCTTTGATCCCGTGAATGGACAACAGTATCTCATCATTGTTGATTCCTTCAGTAAGCGGCCGGAAGTGTTCTGCATGGAACGCATAACAAGTGGCGCAACCATTGGCGTACCGAGAAGACTTTTCGCCTAACATGGAATACTAGAGACCCTAGTTACTGACAATGGCCCTCAGTTTGCATCTTTGCAGTTCGCCGAATACTGTACGCAGAACGGCATCACACACTTACGCTCGCCGCCGTTCCACCTGCAAGCTGAGCGATTTGTTGATACCTTTAAACGGACGTTGCTGAAGATGAGGGAGAAGGAACTACCCAAGAGATATTGGATGTTTTCCTTCTACTGTACAGATCAACTCCGAACCCCCAGGTGCCAAATTAGCTGTCCCAAGCAGAAGCGCTAATGGGCAGGAAACTCTGTACTCTGAATTCCTTGCTGTTTCCAAAGCGTATCGCTCCGCAAGAGAAATGTGAGAATGGAAAATTACTGTAATCAGCGGCCCTGGACGCAAGTACGTCTATTTCAGCCAGAACAGAGCGTTTTAGTCAGAGACAATCGTCCTGAAAGACCACACTGGACCACAGGCTCGATCGACTGTATACTTGGACAAGTGCTGTATAAAGTTCGAGTGGGTTCTATGATTTTGACCAGACGTGCAGACCAGCTGCGGCCTACAAGCATTCAGATAGATATCGGTGAACGATCGCTACCACTGGGTATTCTGCTGGACAATTTCGATATACACCCTGGAACTCAGGAGCCACCTAATGAGCCTTGCCCGGTGACCACAAAAGGAACGAGCTTGCAACCACGACGATGGACTGATCGGATACGGAGGTCCGTACGTCCGTTTTCGCGAGGGAGGTGTTACCAGGGCCCGTCCATAGCAGCCATCGAAGCTAGCTCTCTCTCTGTTTGGAGAAGCCCGGAGAAGATTGGTGGTATGAAGCTTGTAGCCGATTGGCTAGCCAATGAGAGTAAGTCAATGATATCGTTTTATTTTGAACTGGACCAATCAAAAGGACCTTCCTTGAAGCCCTCGAGTAAGCACACTACTTGATCAGCCAACAAGCGAGCTTTTGCGCATCTAGTAGTTGCTATCGTCAGGAAGTTGCACTTAGGTCTTTCTCTCATGAACTATTTATTTTGACCACATGCCTGTACATTCTGTTTCCCGAGTGCTCTACACAAGTTCCGCCAGAGGCCTTTGTTTTCTGATTTGGAAGGTGGCCGTATCGTGACCAGAGTGATTGCATCGGTTATCCGTACTATCAGCGGAAACACAACAGTCCAAGCGAAAAAATCACAGGACTAAGACACAACTTAACTCTTCGAGTTCCCAACTGAAGCTGGTTCTTGACAAGATGAGTCAGCTAGAAGATTTAGTCAAGGCACACCCAAAACCACAATGGTGGCATGTTCTGGAGGGAAGCAGATTTCCTCCTCGTGAACGGTGTCTAATCATCGTCAACGCTCCCGAAGCTAGTAAAAAACGCCGGCCGAGAGCATAGTTGATGATCAGGTTTTCCTAAAGTGGACGATTTCTTTACTGTTCGGCGAAAGGGGAACAGGGGTTCAATGCTATCGCTGCCTTTCGCCTTGGTCGAAAGCAAAATGACACTTTCAAGTTGCGTCTGTTGAAAATATCGTCGCATCCTCAGGCGGATTCCGCGCCTTAAGGGCGAAACATTCCATGTCCTGAGAGATCTCTGCCCTGAAGACCGAGTGAGAATGAAGAATGCCATTGATTAAATGCAGACTCACCGAGCCAATAGTGAAATTAATCATTATATTGTGAATTTTCGTGTAGTACAATGGGCTCCGAAAGCTCGATGGCGGCCAGTCTTTGTCGCACCCGGACTACGGATTCTAAGTTTGGATTGCGTGTGATGTCAGTCAATGTGTGAAGCCTGAGAAATAAATTGGATGAGATTCGTCTCCACGCTTTAGAGTGTCATCGTGACCTAATGACTTTTACCGAGACGTGGCTGTCCCCGGATATTCTGG